GGCTCTTTAAGGCGCCGGTGGGCTTACAGAGTTATGCCACATGTGCACAGATTGCATGACCGTGACGCGTGTATGTAATCTTACCAGTGCACACTGATGACATAAGCCAGGCGGTGGTGGCGCATGCCTTTAATCCCAGCACTCGGGAGGCAGAACCAGGCGGATCTCTGTGAGTTCGAGGCCAGCCTGGACTACCAAGTGAGTTCCAGGAAAGGCACAAAGCTACACAGAGAAACCCTGTCTCGAAAACAAACAAACAAACAAACAAACAACAACAACAACAAAAAAGACACAATACCCTTGTCTAGCTCCTGAACTGTGCATATGCAGTCATGTAGTTGGAGCGCGGCAGAATCCTAACACTTTGCATTCTTTTTTTTTTAACTGTTTCCTTTCTACCCATGGAGCAATATTGAATTCAAATACTTACATTTAACCACACAAGTTAAATTGCTCCAATGCTTTTATCTCTTTCTGTGGCAACTTTATTCAGCTGTTTTAAGCACTTATCATTTCTACTGTTTTACAAATTTCTTGTGGACTGGTCCTTTTCACCCTCTTGTCATCTGAATCAGCTATTAGATCTGAAAGTACCAGATAGAACTTCAAAAATAACTTTTAAAATGAACTGTCATTTTCAAACCTCATTTTTTCTTCATTAAAAGTTTTATAGATCTTTCCATTACATATCATATACAAGTTTATATCACTTTCCTCTGTTATTATTAGACAGAAATGTCTAAGAAAGATGTAGTGCAAAATACAAAATATAGAAATTGGTAGTGAACATTTGAAAGATGATATTTAGACACCTTATAATATAAAATGACAATTTACTTAAATTTCATGTTGTTATATCATAAGTTATTGATTTAAATATTAAAATGATATCTATCAATCAGACATGAGAACCCAAACAACAAAACTAAATAATGGAAAGACCTGAGCTAAAAATTGAGAAATCAGTAATAAAGTTTCTTTGGATCCCTAGCTTTATTGCTTATGGCAACTTTGATGCTAAAATGTACCATACATCACACAATGACAAGGTTTAGTAAATGAAAAGTACAAAACTTTACATAAATCAACTAAAAGATTACATCAAAATGCCAAAAATTTAACAGAGTCAAAGCTTTTACTTGTAACTGTTCAGACAACCATCTCACATAATTGTCTCAAGACCATCAGCTCTGTGGGAAACAGTATTCAAATTGATTTTTGAGAAAACAATTATACTTTAAAGAAAAAGAGGTGGCTTAGCAGTGAAGAGCACTCCTCTTGCAGAAGACCTGGGTTCAATTGCCAACACTCACATAGCAGCTCACAACCCTCTGAACTTCAGTTCCAGGGTATCCAATGCCCTCTTTTAGCCTCCACTGATATCATGCACACACCTCATACACAGACATGAATGTAGGGAAAACACGCATGCACTTTAAATGTAAAAGAATTTTAAATGGTCACAGAAATTTAGTCTCAATTTCATTACTTTCTCCCAAGACCAGTTCATCCTTTTTTCCCCGCTTTGGCTTCCTGTAAAAATACCCTTTTAGTACTAATACATATGTTGTCATTTAATGCTTACCTTTATTTATTTATTTATTTATTTATTTATTTTTGCTGAAAAGATCTCGTGGGAGCAAATTGTGTTTTATGTAATTATAAGAGCTCCTATTCCAACATCTTGTAGCTTTTCAAGACATTAGCATTCTCAGTCTGACTTTGCTTTTTTTCATATTAATGTTTGGCATTATTTCAACTATATCATCAATTATCTCAAAAGCATTGTAACACTAAACCACTGTGTTAATGTTTCTCTTTAATGTACCTCTATCAGTACTTTGCTTTGCAAAATTATTCTGGCTATATGACAATCACTATAAAATATAGTCAAATTGCAAAATAATTCCAATTTGATATTGTGGTGCTGTTACTGTCTATAATTAATACACACATTGCTTTTTACAGTGGCAGTCTACTAGGTTAGCCAGTCTGAACTTAACATGGCCATGGTATACTGTTGTTTCAAAGTGAAGAGTATTGTTTAAGTTCTAGACCTGTTTTTCTTAAATAGGAATGGGAATAAAGAGTTATAGGTACATGTATGAATGAAGATAATACCCCAAGTATCTCAGCCTTAGATTTACACTGTATTGTTCAGGAAGATCAAAGCAGATTAATTCATTACTTATTATAAAGGCTTATTTTTAATTTAAAATAATTAAGAAAATTACTTGGAAGCAAAACAGTATAGTGTATTCTACTTCTTAATACATATGTCATACTATTCTGTAAATTTTAGTTGTCTCGATCAAAAAAAGACACAGAAGAGCCCCTTTCAACTTTAACTAGACCTCAAGTGAAAACAGTTCCCACTGGAGCCTGAAATTTCATTGACTTTGGAGTAAAGTCTAAGGAAACACCTATGGGGAGAAACTGTTCTATATAAAAGATGATGAAGATTTTAGAAAAGGGGAAAGATTTGGGAAACGATCCCTTTCACAGAGGGACACAGTCACAGTTGTCCATGACCTCTCGAGTATATTTCCTTACAGACAAGGTCAAGATGCCCTCACCAGCTTCTGGCTTAGCACCACTTCCTTACTCCATCCCTCTTTCTTCCAGGCTAAATAGCAAGATAGCCATTGAGCATGGTACTTAGAGTCCTTAAAACACAAACCTATAAAACTAAGTGAACCAACTTACTTGTGAAGTAAATCACTCAGGCATT